CGAGTATGAACAGCAAGTATGTGTGTAATAGGAAATCTGCCAGACGTTCCAAGAACTCTCTGCTTTTTTGGAACCCCTTCTAGAGGCCCTCAGCCCCACCTCTGTAGGCCGGTCTCCGTACCCGAGACTCCTAGCTGAAAGTGTGTTTCCAAGGACATGTAGCACCACTCAGGTGAATATTGGTCCTATTACCAGAGAACCCTCCCTTTTACCCTGGAACGAAGTTCCTGTGTAAGCAGGTTTTGAAAACCGTGTAATGTGTGTGTGCGTCCTCTTGATTAACAAGGTATTTCAATTTGTCACTCCCTGGAAGATTATGCTGTGTTGTCGGAGATCAGCACCCAGTTTACCCATCACAATGGCTGTTTTTCATGCCCTCAGAAGTTGTTCCTCACAAAGATCTCTTTGTTTTAGGAGATGACAGATTTGGGTTGAAAAAGAGATTAGACGGGACACCTGGGTGGCTCAGTCCGTTGAACGGCTGACTTCGGCTCAGGTCATGATCTCGCGGTTTGTGGGTTCGAGCCCCGCGTTGGGCTCTGTGCTGACAGCTCAGAGCCTGGAGCCTGCTTCGGATTCTGTGTCTCCCTCTCTCTCTCTGCACCTCGTGCTCTCTCTCTCTCAAAAATAAACAGAGAGAGAGATTAGAACTCTTAGACTCAATTAATTGAGACATTGTATCAGCCTGCTCTGGAGAAATAGGAGGCTTTCCCAAGTCCAGTGTGAGAAAATCCATGTTTAACAAAGAAAAAGTAACCACCAATTCTTAGCTAAAAGAAACAGCTCCCCTATAAAAACATCCTCTGTTATAGGATTCCTTTCAGAGCAAGCTATTTATACATGATTCAGTTTAGATAAAAGAAAACCTGCTTTCGTATATTTCACAAACACATCCATCCCTTGTGTAACGTTATATATACGCTACGCGCACATCATATATGTGATACAGTGGTCCAGCCTAGCGTTTGGCCTTTGACAACCAAAAAGATTGCCTTTTATGATGCCAGTCTCAAAAATGTTAAGAATGTACCCCCACGGCACCTGGGTGGTTCACTTGGTTAAGTGTCCGACTCTTGATTTCAGCTCAGGTCATGATCTCTCATGGTTCATGAGTTTGAGCCCTGCGTCGAGCTCTGCGCTAACAGTGTGGAGCTTGCTTGGGATTCTCTCTCTCTCTCTCTCTCTGTACCTCTCCTGCTTGTCTGTCTCTCTCAAAATAAATAAACTTAAGAAGAATGTACCCAAGCCTCCCTTAAGAAAGGATTTCAGATTTATTGACCACGGGTTTATCTTGAATCTGTTTATATTTTCATTTGTGCCATTTTGGGGAATAATGAGTTGCGCATTTTCAACTTGTGTTGAGGTAGCATTCTTTTCTTTTTCCTTAACTGAGGGGTTACAGACTCAAACATCTAACGTAGTAAGTCAGTTGGTGGTCTGGTGTAAGCATTAAAAGCACGAGAACGGGTGTCCCGCCTACAGAGAGCAGCCACTCTCGATTTCAGTCCATTCTGCCACATGGGAAGGTGGGACTGGCGTGGCCTGGGTGTTCAGATTTTTCCCTAGAAGCCTCAGAGCTGAATTTTTAAACATTGTCAATTCAGTTGGAAATTTAAAGACTCTGTGCAAAACAAATAACCCACAGTGTGTAGGTATTCCGGTTTATTTCTGGATACTGTGTATCTGTATTTCTGGATACTATGTATATATATTTCTGGATGCTGTATTTGTATTTCTGGATACTGTGTTGTGTGTGTGTGTGTATACACATTTCTGGATACTGTATCTGTATTTCTGGATACTGTGTGTGTGTGTGTGTGTGTGTGTGTATACACACATTTCTGGATACTGTATCTGTATTTCTAGATACTACAGGTATCCAGCTTACCTCTGTCTGAAATAGACCTCTTGCGTTTCAAGCATACTTCTGAGTGTCTGGGGTGTGATGTATGAACCTGTGGTCCTGCCTCATAACTGTGACAGCTTTTAATATATCATCAATTTGGCCTTTATCTTAACACACTAAAGACCGTTTTCAGTTATTCTGCACCCCTACAGAAACAGCCCCACGTGCTCCGTGACTGTGTTTACCTTGACTCGAGGCACAGTCATAAACACTCATAAAAATCCGAATCCGCGTTTCATCTGCCACCGCTGCTGAGGTGAGTGTGGCGACTTCATGGTCACAGGCCGACTCCTCTCCCTTCTTTCCGCAGCCGTCCCTGCACCAGGCTGATAGCGCACGGGGGACCCGCCACCATGGGCTGGTGGAGAGGCCGGCCAGGACCCGCTTCCACGCGCTCCACCGACGGTCTGGGGACAAGCCGGGACGACAAATATCCTTTCTCGTTGTCTGAGGGCAGTATGACTTCTGAAATGTTTGAAAGGTTTTCAAGGTTTCTCTTCCCTACCGTTCCCCTTTGGCCTCCAAGCCTTCGTTTTATCTGATGAAGGGAGGCAATAAAAACAAACGAGTTGGAAACTAGAAACATCTCTGCAGCTGAAAATTGGAAAGATCATCGCGGGTGTTTACTTGATGAAAACGGTGATAAAGCGGAGTCGGGTGACGTAACTGGACATAAGCAGAACCTGTAACCCGGCCCTGTTGCAAGGCCGCCTCAGGATTTTCTTCCGAGGTCAGCCAAGGCACAGTTAAACCTGACTTTGAACCAGGTTAGAGAGACCTGGTCTATCTAGCTAAAACAGACACGTGGGAATCTGGCTGATTTTTATTTCTGCTGACCCGGGGACCCTGCTGTGAGAACTTACAGAAGAAAGTTCATACGATCTCCTATTTATGCAGTTCCAAGCTCAGTAAATGACGCCTTACGGTATAAAGTTAGGAAAATTCTTATGCAGCACTTACGCCAAGACCTATGCTGTTAAGTAGGAATGAAGAAGAGATTTCAAAGTCCCCTGATAGTTTTGTTTTTCAGGGGCCGGGGCTTAGGCAGTGGGCGGGGTGGTCACCGCCGGGCCACCGGCGTTGTGCTCAGGGCTTCGAGGACACAGTTTTGTGGGAGAGGACGTGGAAGCAGCGTGCCGGGAGGCCCTGTGCCCTCCCTACGCTCCCCCCTCTGGGGTGGAGGAAGGCACAGGAAGGCGGGGTGCGTGTCACTGCACAGCTGGTTCCTGGCAGTGATGGTAGAGCTGGCTTCTCGAGAAACCAGGAAGTGGGGGGAGGGCACGCGTGTTTGCTGAGCACCTACCCATGCCAGGCACTGCGCCGGGCCATTTCTGTGTAATTCTGTCCTCAAAACTCACTGAGTAGTTCATGCGTTTTAACCCGCATTTTCCAAGGAGGAAGCTGAGCATCGAAGTCACTTGTCCCAGATTCCCGCTGTCGAGGTTGGATTCAGCCCGGGTCAAGCGGACTCCGGGCCTGGGCCTCTCCCCTGCCTCCAGCACTCGGTGGGTCGGCCCCCGGACCCCCTCCTGCCGTCAAGAGAGGCCCTGTAGGCGGGGTTGTAGGACACACACAGGGGACACGCTTCTCCTGCCCCCGGGTTTCCTCCAGCTTCCTATTTGGAGGCCGGGATAGCGACCCCAGGGAACGTTCCCGTCTCCCCTCTCTTCCGCCCCCAAGGGACACACCGCGGACACAGGGTCCACGACAGACCCTGACTTCTAGTTTTATGTATTATGTGACTGCTGTCAGGGAGGGTGACGGTGACAGCTGATTCTGCGGGTTCCCTTCTGGAACACGTAATAACCCTTACGCAGAACGCAAAAGGGAGAGGAGAATCCAGACGAGTCTTCGGCTCATGTGCTCACGTGTGGGAGGAGCATGTACACCAAACCCTCATCGAGACTGCTGAGAATTTTCAAGCAAAAGACTTCTGATTCTTTGCGATTTAACAATATGTCTTTTTCCAAAGTCTTGATTCTCTATTTCTCCTGTAGGTGTTCTCTGTAAATAGTATAATACATACATGACATATTCATAGCTATATATATAAATACCTGTATACTTGCAGCTATCTCAGAGCTTTTTTACAGCAAGTATGGTCTAAGTATATACACATGCTCACAGCTCTTTTAACCAAGGTAATAACTTAGAAGAGGAGGGGATTGAAGGAAAGCGACAGAGGACAATGTTCATTCACTTAAAAACAATGAGGGGCTCCTGGGTGGCTCAGTCGGTTAAGCGTCCGACTTCGGCTCAGGTCATGATCTCACAGTTCATGAGTTTGAGCCCCGCGTCGGGCTCTGTGCTGACAGCTCGGAGCCTGGAGCCTGCTTTGGTTTCTGTATCTCCGTCTCTCTCTGCCCCTCCCCTTCTCTCTCTCTCTCTCTCTCTCTCTCTCTCTCTCTCTCTCTCTCAAAAAAGTAATAAACATTAAAAAAAAATTATTTACTAGTGTCAGGCCCCGCTGAGACACTGCAGGCATAATGGCGGACATAATTTGGTCCCTGTCCTCATGTTGCTTAAAGTGGTCACCGTGCAGTGTGGTGAGCTATTGTCGAGGCAGCTCATAGGAGGGGCGGCCAGGACCAGTGATGGGAGGCTGGAAAAGGCATCCTTGCGGTACGTCTGAGGCTTGCAGGATGAGCCGCCAGTAAGGGGATGATGTATTTGTGTACTCAGCAGAGAGATCTGCAGAGTCCCTTTTCTGTACAAGTACTGTCCACGCGCAGGGGACTGGGTGGTGGAACAAGACGTGTCCCCGCGTTGGTGAGGTTTTGGTCTGGGGGAGGTGGTGGACGGCAAACAGGTAAAGAAATGATTAAGGAAGATAATGGCAGAAGGTGGTAGGTGATGCAGAAAGAGGGAGGCAGCTGGAGAGGGAATGTTCCAGGAAGTCGGTGTATCTTGTGCAGAGTCACAGAAGGGGAGACCACACCATGTGCTCAGGGGACTCGGTCTCCTCCCAGGTGATTTACCACGGGGTGTCACTTGACCCCATCTATGGGTCCCCTTGTGAAAACAGCAGCAAATACAGGTCACCTTCAGAGGGGAAGGGAAGCAAAAACTAAATTAATGCACAGATAGATTAAAGTTCATCACACAGTACATGTCTGATCCACAGGTCGTGAGACCCCTCTCTCTGTTCTCTTCTTAAGCACAACCTAACTGGGGTCTGGGGACTGGGCATCTGCTGATACAAAAAAATTTTTGAGCTCAGGCCGGTCCGTTAATGGACAGCGTGTCTCTTCTGCAGAACCAAGGGGCCGTGAGCTCCTAGTGAAATATAAGAGAGGGATAATTATATGTCGAAGGTACTGACATAAATCAGAAGAACTTGGGAGAAAGATTTCATCTTTCCTTTCGTGGCCACATTCAGTTGATTTTGAAATAATTTGCTTAAAACAGTGGCCTTTCACACAGGGTCTTCTGTTACCTCCTTAATGTCTGTCTCCCACTTCTGTCATTTGGAAGTGTTCACACCAGTTTGAACCTTTGTTAGGACAAAAAGAAAAGGAAAAAAACGTATCCAGAATTCTCTTCCTGCAGCTGTTTATTGGCTTGGAAGTTACTTCAGCGCGGCAGACTGGCCTAGACAGGGGTTCAGTCCTATGATACAGTGATCTCACATGAAACGGACATTGTTTAACGAATATTCTGGCTTCCTCCCCGAGTGGGTAGCAAGCAAGGCACCGGCCTGGGGACATTCCTCGTGCAGTGGGCAGCTGTGGCTGGGGCCTGGGCTTGCGAACTCAGCTTAGGGGCTCTTCTACGTGTCCGCGGCCGCTGGTTTCTGCAGCAGCCCTCTTCCCTCCTCAAGGGCAGCGGACATGGGTCCCACACGCCGTCTGGTCACGTTTCTGAACAACTAACGTGAATTTGCGGCAGATATGGTATTATCTTAGACCTGTGGGTAACACATCGAGAACACAGGGGACTTGCTGGAGAATCATGGTAAACGCCTTCCTCTAAAGGTGCTTTTAGAAAGAGAGAAAAATAAGTGTGTGGAAAATTTCTGATTTATGTTCCCAACAAGGCGCAGGAGTGCATCACATCTGGGAAACTAGCGTGAGTGGTCACGAAGGGATGCCTTAAGACCTGCCAAAGTTAGGAATGGCTTTCCTCTTTGGAACAGGCCTTGCTTTGAGTCTGTTCGTACAACAAGATGAAAGTTTTAGGACATTGGTGTATAGAACACGGTTTCTTTGACATACTCGGCCTGTTACATTTGAGGAAACGCTACTCTGCTCCCCCCCCCCCCCCCCCCCCCCCCGCCCCCCACCGGCCCCCAGGGCTCTAAGAAGGCTTGCAGCTAAAAAACTTTTTCTCTTCACCCGGGACTAACAAAATGCATTTGATCTGATCACAAAACCCAACTTTTACCTAATACCCACTAGCGATTTCCATCTTAAAGGACAAGGCACGGGCTGATGTTTAGAGCTTCTCAGGAGAAAACGTTCAGACTTCAAAATTCCACATGTGACCTGTCTGTCGCTCGTGTGCCAAGGAGAGCAGAAAGATGTTCCCACGCACGCAAGGACTCAGAAAGATCCCACTCAGATTCTGTCCGTGACGTTGGACTCCAAGATGTTTTCTAGCAGGACGTAGTTGGAGGCAAAACAGGACAAGAGGAAGTAACATGATGGTGAAGACGTGGTTGAGAAATTAGGAAGGAACCAGACTGGGACCGGCTCTGTGTGTTCGGTCCGACCCTGGGAGTCGTCTTGCGGGCGGGTTCCAGGAAAGCAGACTCAGAGTCCACTCGCCCGGCCGGCTGCATGGGAGGTCCTGGGCCTGCCCCACAAACCGCCCCCTGGTAGAACCCTGAGCTCCAGAGGCTCAGAGACAAGATGGCCAGCCTCCAGGCTGCCTCTAGAAGGCTCTTCCTGAGCCCTGCCCCAGGTGCGCTTACCACATGGGAACAGGAAGCCGAAAGGAGAAGCCGGGCTGTGCTCTCCAGCCACGAGGCCAGCAGCACAGCAGAGACAGGGTGGATGCCGTCTGGAGCTTCTGTGGCTCAGTGACCCCACCCATGGATAGATGGGCCACCAGATGTCCTGTCTTATCAGCAGAAGAGCTACTCCCCTTCCTTTGGGGAAGAGTGAGTAAGAAGCTTCCCTGTGACACTGCCCACGTGGAGGAGGAGGAGGGGAGGCCTTTGGTCAGCGGACTGAGGCAGGGACACAAGGAGCTTCCTCTCCAGATCCACAGGCATGTGGGGAGCACATCAGTGGGTTAAACACGGTGGATGGGCGAGAAAAGGAGCAGACGCGAGGGAGGAGCGGGAGTTACTGTCCAGGTGGAGTTTGAACGTACTTTTGGTGGCAAAGCTGAGCAGGCGGTGGGAAACTGGGGCTTGGCACGAACTGTCGGCGGCGGGTTTGGGGGTCCCTGGACTACAGGTGCCCAATGCCGGTTGGAGCCAGAGGCCGGGGCAGGACTGACCCCCCCCCCCCCCCCCCCCCCCCCCGCCCCCAGTGAGCTTGGGTGCGCCCAGCTCTGTGTCCTCGGACACTCCTCCCCGAGTGTCTCCAGCCTCCCACGCTGCCCCCACGGTGTGATGCCCAGCAATTCCGAGGCCCTTGTCCCCGTCCTGTCCCTTTGTGAGCAACATGGGCTGAGAGGCTGTGAGGCCATAGGGCTCAGGGAGCATCAGGATTGGAGGAGGAGGAGGAGGAGGCAGCAAAGGACCTGAAAAGGAGTGCGTGGGGCAGGTGTGCCAATAAAAAGGTGCACACTAATGTGGGGACCTTTTAACCTAGGCTCACCGGGGGTGATGGCCGAGGAGCTGGTCTGGCTCGTTAAAAACCCTGCTGCCGGCTGCTTCTCCGTTGGCAGCCGGTAGGCGCCACGGTCGTTTGTTGAATTAATGGTAAATTCAAGTTGACGAATAAGGGTATTTCCCCATCTTTAGGTTGTCCTGTAGGACATGTCAGTGTTGTGGACTAGTCAAAGCCACCTGAATGAAAGCTCCTGAAATCTTAAGAAGACTTTTCTGGGCTTGCCTTCGGTTGACTGCAGCTTCGTGAGGCAGTGGCGTTAGTGTTTCTCCTGATGCCCAGCAGCTCTTGCGTTTTTAAACAGCCAGTAAATGACATGTGCCAGGGAGAATTAACAATGCTCAGCGGTCACATCGTTTGAGTTTTGCTGGCCCGGCCTCATCGCATCAAGAACCCCAGCCGGGCCCGGTGGTGGTGTGCCTGGGCCCCGGCCCCTTGGGAGGCCGAGGAGGGCACAGCCGGAGCCCAGGGCGGCCGACCGGTGGGGCGTCCACGCGGACTTCCGCATCAGGGCGGCGTGGAGCTGGTGGGTGGGGGGATCTCACCTGTCAGCAGCCGCCGCACCCCGGCCTGGGCGATGCAGTGGGAACTCCTGAAAGTTAATTTCAGGAAACCTCTACACGTCCATGCTGTTAACATGCATCAGAAAGGTTAACATGCTGCCTCGAACCTCACCATTGAGGTAATGGGCGCTTGGTCATTCTGTTACCCTTAAGGCTCCACGTGCTAAGTTGTGTTAGCCGCACTGCCTCGGGGACTTAGGGCGGCAGGGTACTGAGAGAAACGGGAACCTTCTGCTTCCTGACGTTCCGCTTCTCCCCACGGAGATCCATTGAACTCTGCAGGAAGCGGAAAGACAGATACCCGCAGGTGGGGAGACTCGGTGCCTCCTGGCCGATGGCTCGGTCCACCAAGGCTCTGCTGGTTTTCATCGGTCAGGGGGCCTGCCTCCTTCGTGCTCGCCTCCTGTGGCGTATTCTAGCCTGCACTTAACATGCACGAAGGCCCATCGTTGAGGAAGTGTCTCCCTTTTGAAAATCATCTCTTACCATGTGGACTTAGGTTCAGATTAAGAAATAAGCTAGCTGCAGATGACAAAACAAATACAGAGAGTGGACCTCGTGATCATAACGCCCCTCCCGGCCACAGGGGCCTTTGACACCCAGTCGTTCATCGGGGACGCCCAGGCCAGGCCTGCGTGACGGGGGCCCCCTCCCCTTCCTCCTGAGCCCACGCACGTGGTGGCTGCTGTATAGAATCATTACAGTTTGTAGCGGGAGGTTATTATGATTAAAGATGTTTTGAAGAGACTGTTCTATGGGTGTAAATGAACTAAATTAACTAAACGCCTCTACTGCCCTCGGCGTGGATATTGTCGCATCATATCCGTTTCTCTCTGCGTCTGGAATATGTCCCAGGGCACCATCCCTGGAAGAGTACAGAATTTAGAAAACAGAGCCCCCGACAGCCCAAGGAACTTACCATTTCTCCACAAATATAGTGCAGCTCTCTTCTGGTTGTAAGTAACAGGAACCCTCAGCTTGAAAAAAGGAAACTTACTGACTTATGTCCCTGGAAACCCAAGGGCATTATCCAGGGGTTTGCACAACAGCCCTGAGACTGTATCCGCTACGTGTCCCCTGGTGGGTAGGGGGATCACACCTGTCAGTCTGTGTTGACTTCCTGGGTGGATGGGCTTTGTCTCCTTGCAGACTGATGCGGCTCTTGGGCTCATCACCCCAACTGAGGGCACCCTTTTTTTCTCCTCCGAGGCACTCTCTGGCTTTGTTTATGTCAGGAGCCCATCCCTGACCAATCACTGTGGCCGGGGGTATAAGGTACCTTGACTGGAAATACTGAGCCTTGGGACAGAGGGGCTTCCAAAGAATGGCGGCCTTACCAGGTTTGGGGTGAAGGGTGGAGGCAGTTCTTGAAAACAAAAGACGCTATGCCAGCCAAAAAAAAAAACAGACAGACCCCACACATGAATCATACAGAGACAGCACTTTCCAGAGGCAGTTGTGGAGGGAAGGCCTGGAGGAAGAGCGATCGGTGTAGAGAAACAGATAAGAACCAGAAACCCTGTTGTCTGACTCTCCATGATTCTGGCGTCTTCGTTCTGCTTCAACTTTCCATTAATTTTATTTTTCCTTTATTAAAAATTCCACTTTGATGGTAGTACTTTCGGATCCAGTTACTCCTCACAGCCCCTGGATGAGAGTTGGCCAAGGTAAGCAAGCCGTATTTAAAAAATGTCTTTACTGTTTGTTTATTTTTGAGAGAGAGAGACAGAGAGCAAGCCGGGGAGGGGCAGAGACAGAGGGACACACAGAATCCGAAACAGGCTCCAGGCTCTGAGCCGTCAGCATGGAGCCAGACACGGGGCTCGAACCCACGAACCATGAGATCATGACCTGAGCCGAAGTTGGACGCTTAACTTACTGAGCCACCCAGATGCCCCAGCAAGCCGTATTTTAAAAAGATATGATGGGCACGTGTTTGTCGATGGCTCCACTTAATTTTATCCACCTTGAATGTTGTTGTAGAGATTTCTAGTATAAATCATGGAATTTTGTTTTCTCTTACAAAACTTAGGTCCTCCATGAACAATCATAGGCTTATATGGAAGTCGAAGATGAAAAGTAATTTAAAATAAACCTAGATCTTCATATTTAAAATCAAACAGAAACGCATTTGGAACACATCTGCCAATGGAATGCTCTGATTTGGTATTCTTCTATTGAAGACACGGAAAAATAGGAAAAATAAACACCTTTGCTTGGGGTGTCCTCATAAGCCATTGGAAGGAAAGAAAGATTTAAGAAGCTTCTAAAACTGTAATTTACACAGTGGATTTGATTTAGACTCTCTATTTTCATATACAAAGGGCATATACAAAACAAAATTGAGTATTTTTAAGTATAGCAGGCGACAGAATATAAAACCAACTGAAAAGATTGACGTATCCACTGTGTATGTGATATCGTTTTCAGGTCACCAGGTCAGATTTAGGAGACACTTGAAGTGTACATATCAAAAAAAAAAAAAAAATCAGCTCTCTGTGTTGAGGTCGACTCTCCATCCGCTCTCCGGGTAAATCCCGACTGAGCACTTCACCGTGAATAACATAGTCAGGACCTGGGAAGTCCGCTAAAGATGAGTAATGGCGGGCCCCTGCCTCCTTGGGTTGTCACCTGCCCTCAAGAATTCTGGGATGTCAGTCGTGGGATAAATACAATACTGCGTTTTAAATCATAAAAAGGCATCTCTAAACTGATTATTTTGCAAACTTGGATCCAAGAAAAAATGTCTTCAGCTTCCCAGAGCCCTGGGATTAGTTGGATTGACGTTTTCATAAACTGGGCAATTACAACAGTTAACGTGTTCCTCCTCACGGCCGTCTACACGGGAATAGCATTTTTGCATCCAGGACGGCCAGGGCGCCCCCTCTGCAGACACGCGGGATGTGTGCTGGGCAAGACCTCATTTCCCCCAGAGAGGAGTCGGCCATAGAATCTAGAATCGAACTATTTCAAAGGTGCTTATAAATCCCCTTTTTAAAACAAAACCAAACCTCCTTATGTGCCCAGCCAGCTAACCCTGTTCTCGTGGATTTGTGGTAGTTTTTATCATGGAGATCAGGAATCCTAGGAGGTAGAGAGATCACTCAGTCTGACCTCATTTTAACACCGTTGAGCAAAATGACCAAGTCATGGAGCGTTTGAAGTGACTTTCCCTCAGGTTGTGCGGCCAGGTGAGAAGAGCCAGTTCTCAAACTCAGGCCCCAGGCTCCCCTTTGCTCCTGTGGATTGAACATCTTTTCTTTTTCTGTCACTCTGGTTTTTAAAGGCAGCAGCATCCTTGGAAAGAAGAAAAGCACCCTGGGTTCAGGCTGACATCTGCACTTAACAGGTACCTGGGTTCATTGCTAGTGGAAATAAATTTCCTAGACTAATCGATTCGATTGTCCTGCTGCCCTTGATATATTATCCGGTGGCCAGAGGATATTCATATCAGATGTGTTTATATGAAGTATTAAAAAAATGTCAAAGGCCTGAATCTCCCACCATTTATCGAATGTCTGCACAGACAGCACAGGATACGTAGACAGTATGAGAGCCCGAGGTCCAAGGCGGGGCCGCGAGATTGGCTCTTACTGTGCGACCTTGAATGAGTTATTTAACTTCTCCGTGCCTCAGCTTACTCACCTGGAAAAGGGAGATAATAATACCTGTATCAAGGGATGGTTGTGGGGATTAAATAAGGTACAAGAAACACGGGGGACATTAGCATTCAGCCAGAGTTGGCTTGGCATCGCGATCGCTTTGGGCTGGACTCCAGCGGTAAGTGCTCTCCGGGGGTCATTTTTTTTTTTTCAATCCTGACAGCATCCTTCAAGAATGAATGTTATTTTCTGTTTTAAGAGATTAAGTGACTTGTCCAAGGCAGTTTAGCTAATGTGCGGTGGTACTGGGATTTAAAAAAAAAAAAGTTTCCAGTGCAAAATACAAAACATACACCAAAGAGAAAAGAGTGATGGGAAGTCCCTGTGCCCACCCTTCAGCTTCGGCCCTCATCGGCCCGGCTCCTTTCTTCGGAACCCCCTCCTCTCACCCCCGTCCCACCACCCACTAGACAGAGTATCACACAGGTAAATATCTCTGAGAGGAAAGGTTGGTAAGAACCTCTTTTAAAGAAAACACAACCACAATGTCATTGACAAAATTAACAGTGATTGTAATACCCAGGCTACCTTCACATTTGCCCAGTTGTCTCTCTGCATTTGACTGATGTTCTCTTGAGCCTCTTTGACTCTGTAAAGGAGCCAGAATCCAAACCGAGGGGTCTCTGACCCCGGGGGGCACGCTCTTCCTGATGCATCATGCAGCCTCCGAATCTCCTGTACCCCCGTCTGAGCACAGCACCGCCACGGTGCCCAGTCAAGCCACGCGGCTTTACTGGCCATGTGAGGCTCTCACCTGGAACAGACCACAAGGAAACATTTTAGGCTAATTGGAGGTCTCTCACAAAAGGCAGGTAGTTTGACAGTTGGATAAGTAAATAATTGTCTCTTAAGAGTTAAGCTTATGCAGCCCCTGGAACCGTCTGGGAGCATTTCAGAAATTCACTCCAGATCGGTGGTTCCCAAACTTTCTGCCTTAGGACTCCTTTACAGTCTCCAAGACATTAAGGCCCTCAAAGAGTGTTTGCATAAGTGGCTGTGTCTGTTGACATCAGCCTATCGCTACTGGACGTTAAATTGGGAGATTTATAAAAGATACTTGTGCACTTAAAAATAACAAAGTAGCAATCACAAACTCATCACGTGTCTATGTAAAAAGATGCCTTCTTCTAGGAAGCACAGTTACATTTTCTAAACCACAGAAGAGTCCACTGAGAAGAGTGGCAGTGCTGTGCCTTTTACAAACCTCCCCGAAGATAGAGATAGCGGGTCCTCGGCCTGACCCCACAGCTGCCATGTTCCTGACGAGAGCAAGGGCAGAAGGGCAAAGAACATGTAGTATTATTTTCAAAGTCGTCTTGGCCTTGCATTCTCCCTGGAAGGGCCGGAGGAGCCCTGTGGTAGGTGGCCCTTCACACAGGAGTTATTCTCAGATGGAGAGACTCTGGTGCAGAGAATGCACGGGTCCCAGCGGTCTTCTGAGTTGCAAGGGGGAACAGGAAGCCCCTTAGGAGAGGCGGTGAGTCCAAGGTCTGTGTTGTCGGAGTAGACAATTACGCCATTAGCCTCCAAGCGCAAGACTGTGCAGGCACAGACTGCCATCTTTTTGGGCGTGGGAGATCCTCAGAGGCTGTGGTTTGATGTGAGGGACTTCAGGTAGGTTCCAACTCCTCATCTTAACAGATGATTGTAAATTCCTCATTCCTGCCTTCTCTCCTGTGGGTAATTTTCAGCAAAGAATATTGCCTTCTTACTAAAGACAAATGGATTTTCAGCCAGACTCTCTCCTTCTCCCCTTAGGACCAACTCTGATTCCGCCCTTCACACGAGTGCCCTGAGCGCCAAGCCCCAGGACCCCTATGGAGGAGGGGGCCAGTCGGCCTGGCCTGCCCCATACATGGGTAAGACACAAAGGCCCCTGCTAACAGCCTCTGTGCTTTCTCACTGTTTGGAATGACACGAGCTCCGGGCTTTGGCCTTCATTCACCTTCCTCCACCACTTGAACCACTCTGATGTGTCTTCCTGTTCCCGTCTCTTCCTCTCTCACCTACCCTGGCCTACCTGGACCAACACCCTTGGCTCTGTCGCCATTTCTGTGGAGCCGTCCTTGATCTTCCTCCCTCCGCCGACCCACAGCTACCCATGTCCTTCCACCCCAAGTTCCTCCCTGCACATGCCTGTCTTGGCACCTGTCACCTGACTGTCTTTCTCATGGGTGTGCCTCTCCCCCTCTGCTCAGTGTGGATTTCCTGAAGTCGGCATTTTAATGGTCTTACCTCCAGCAGGGTGCCCAGCACACGGGAGCCCTCGGTGTCGGAGAACTGTGGAGAAGTTACACAGTGGCTCGCGTGCATGGAGCGCTGGGCTAGAACGGACTCTAGGTGCTGACATCCAACCTGCGGGGTTCACTAAGACACTTTCCAAGCCTGCCTTTCCCTCTGCGGTTGATAATCTAGTAGGAAAAATGGTGTTGAATTACCTGTTCCCTGTGCAGATTGGCTCTTGTCCACAAACGGTTAGGGCCGCGTGTTGGGTCTTAAAACAGGAGCATAAGTAAATCTTGGTCAAGATAATAGCAGCTTTTCTGGTTTTCTTTATTTTTGAGGCCATTTAAGCCCTAGATAGTCTCTGTTCCTTCCAAGGAGAATGTCCAAGGTCTTATTTCCTTGCACACGGTAGGGATGGGATTAAGTTAGTAATAATTGTTGCTGTATTTGCTCCCTTGGTGCAGTTCAGAGATGGCTGCATTTGCCCAAACGTTCATTTACGTTTCAAGTGTCAGGTGGTTGAGAGGTGGTCTGGGCCACGAGGCTGTGTCTCCACCCATGGGAGTGTGAGCGTCAGGCTGGCGGTATCGTGGGAACTGGACGGGCGTCTGGTGCTCACTGCCGAGGGAAGTGGGGTGCACGGGAGATGCGGTAGCTTGGCCTCAGGAGAGGCATTGGTGGGAGCAAAGAGAGGAACCCCAGAAAGGCAGAGGCTGTGATCAGTGGAGGTGCCAGGAAGTACAGCGGGATCCTGGTCTCCCTGAACCGAGAGGGAACCAGATTGATGGATTTTCGCCCCGGAACCGTGAATAACGAGCTGCATCTCTGCCCCTGCTGTTCCTTCATTTGTGTTGTCGTCCTCTCTGCAAAGTTTATGCTTCCGCAGAAAGGGCCAGAATCCTCGAGACAAGAAGGAAATCGTGGGTAATTTTAAGGAAGGAGCCTTTCAGGCCTGCGCGCAGAGAGGAAAGAAAGTAAGTGAAGGAGGCCATTAACTGAGTGAGGTAGCCTGGGGAGGAGGGGGGGAGAGATTGTCCAGGTCGGTCGGAGGCCAGAAAGGCAACAGAATGGAAACGTTGATCGTGGTAGACAGACCAAGAAAGAGCAGAATTTCTGGGTTGACCTGAGAATCAAGGTGGTCGCTCGTTTGCAAATCAGCAGGTAAAGATTGTTGGGCCCTCGTGGCCGACAGCCAGGGAAGGTGGGCTGACCTCCCAGCTCGAACCTCCGAGCTGTGTGCCTGCTTCTCTGCAGCAGCCTTGCAAGAATAGCACAGCTCAGAAACGCATCCAAATAAGGATGTGTTTACATGGGAAAGCCAGCGTGTTTAAAGTATTCTTCAAGTCTCCAAGGATGGGGCTTATTTCTGGAGAATTCTGTTTGTTGGTGGGAGCTATTTTAGATAGTTTCGTGTATTTTCCCCCTGTAATTCATTAAAGTTTTTTTCATTCTCTTTTCCTTTTGGATTTTAAAAATATCAATTAGCTTTGCAAAAAGGTATTTCTTATTATAGGACCAGCCAAATAAAGTAAAGGTTTAAAAAGTGATGGGAAGCTGTAATTGAAGCCCAGGATTTAGGCTCTGCAGCAGACACAGTAATAAGCGCTCTTTCCCTGGGAATCTTCCCCGAGCATAATGATGTAGCCTCAGTCCATGTTTTTCTTTGTTGGTTTGCTTTGCAAGCTGATAAGGGAGCATCTGCTCTTATGTAACTACACGAGCAATAAACTGTGATCCATCCACAAACAGGAGTCTGTGTCCCCAGAGGAAGAAGCCATTAGTCTGATATGTGGCTTCGCAATTTTCATAATGGTTATTGAGTTGCGTGACAATTAGGCGTCAACAGTAAGTGGTTGATGTGAATGACAGAAATAAACTTACACAACCAGACAAGGTTCTTACGGTTTCTCTCTTCTTACTTAATTATCCAGAGCCTACGAAGAGAAGCGTTGACCATTTCCCTGGCAGCAGGTGCACTTGGCCATTTCACACGCACACAGCCCAGCAAGCAGAAGGGCTCCGTGTGAGCCTGGCTCGGTCTCCTAGCCTAGGACTGTCCCCTAACTGCCCTCCGCTCCCTCGCTCCCACGTTGCCGTGGAGGAGGGGGCTGGAGCGGTCCCTGTCCTTTCCGGGACCCAAGAGTGTGTGGGAATCATCTTCCGTGCACCCACAGCTATAGATAGATGCTGAGTTGTACCAGCTTTGGGAACTGCAGCCCTGAGCCCCTCCCCTGGGAAAGAGGCATGGCTTGGACCTCCGGTGGCCTTTCAGCAGGCAGATGCTGTGATGACCCGCTCAGTTAAGGAGAAGGTCTCAAGTGCAAATAACCCTGAAGGAAGTGAGCCCGTTAATGACCCTTTGTGTACGTAGAGGAGGGAGAGGGGGAGGGCACAAGCATCCCAGATCTTAAGAGGGTCAGAAGGTGTCACCCAGACAGCAAGAGGGCCAGGACGGGGAGGCTGAAGGGACCCACCTCCTGCTGCACCTGCCACATCCCTGCTCAGCAAACACAGCCGCTGCCAGCAGTTTAGATTTGTCCGGCATGGGAGCGGGCAGAGGGAACGTGGTCTGGGTTGCATTTGGGAGGTCAGCCCTCCGTGGCTCCGAGGCCTCGAGGGTTCCCGGAACACAGATGGAGCCGTGCTCGGTGCCGTCCCCTGTGGGACCGATGTGGGTGAGTGTCCTCTGTTTCCAGATGTTCAGTCACAGTGCGTTCCCTTTTTTAGCGTTAGCGCTTTATTTATAGTTGTATCCTAGGGCATTTTTTTAATCCAGTAATAAAAAATCCAGGCTTGGATATTTTGGTTCTGTGTTGGGTTGGCGCTAACATCCATTACCGCCACCCCCGTTCTTGCTGTTACCTGAAGCCGCGAGCCTGTCGCCCGTGATTTCCCCCATTCCCACACCCCTTGCACCGTTCAGCAGCCAAGTCCGGGCCGTTCCGTCCTGCAGTGAGCCTCAGAGCCACCTCCTTCTGTCCTCGCTGCCCGGGCCCACTTCCTGCTTGCCTGGACCGGTCTGCTGGTTTCCCGCCCGCTCTCCCTGCCTTGGGGCTTTCTCCTTCCCAGCCATCCCGCTCTCCCGCTGCTAGAACCCTCTCTCCAAAGCTCGGCTGTGATCCCGTCACTTCTGATCTCTGCGTCACGCCCCGTAACTGGCAGGCTCCTTCAGTCCAGCCTCATCCGCCATTCCTCCCACCTTGTGCTCTGGCCATTCTGGCCCCTGCTCTACACACTGGCCTTGCCTCTCCTTCCCACCCTCCCCTCCTTCCCCTCCTCATCCCGTCTTTACACTGGGGCATCCCCTTCACCCTCACTCCCCAGTGTCTAAATCCCTACACAGAGTCCCAGAATTTGCAGGCAGCGTGATCTTGGGGCTGCTAATAGTGACTGCCTCATAGGGCCGCTGTGAGGACGACATAGGGTGCCTCACAGAGCTGGGGAGCCTGGCACATAGTAAATGAACAGTAATGTTGGCTCTTAATATCATCATCCTTGTCATTATGCTTCATGGGCCTAACTCAGATGCCTCCTCCTCCAGGAAGGCTTCCTTCTGTTTCAGTGGTACCAACGGGATAGCAGAGGGGTGATGTCTGCTTGCCACTCCGTCTCACAAGGTAGCCCTCAGCTCCTCGTGTACGAGGGGGAGGTCAGCCTTCCTAACGGAGCCCAGGGTGGCTGGGGTCTTGATGACGAAGAGATGTTGCAGCGTAGCTCGCCAGATTGCCGACTCAAGCTTAGCTTATTATTTGTAATGGGATAGTCACTGTTTCCCGGTCAGAGTGGTCAAGTTCCCGGCCCTTTCTCAAGATGCGGGTCACCAAGGAAGCCAAAGTATGAATCAGAAGTTTCTCTACCCTCCTCCTGACGCTGCTGATTGAGAGCCATGCCCTTTGTCTCTCTGCACCTCGTTTCCCAGTGCTCTCTGCTCACCTTGCTTTCCTTGGACGTGTCACATGGGGATTAAGCTCTAGCCCCGTCCGAGTCCCTAAGAGAGCAGGCGAGGACTGTCTGTGGAGGGTCCTTGGAGGTGATCTTTAAAACCAGATTCCTGGGCCCATCCTCACACCCTCTGCATCAGTCTTCGAGACAGGCCCAGGAACCTGCATTTTAATGGGCTTACCCAACTCTTGGCGTGCACCAAAGTAAAGTCCTGGGTCACTAACCTAGATCCTGTTTGCGTGGGCTGAGAGAGGTTCTGTCTTTATGAGTGAGCTTAATTTATCCACCTGTTAGCGCTCCTGGGGATTCTCGGCGTTGCCCCCTGCCTTGGGCCCCACCACGATGGGCCATCTTCTACCTGTTTTGGAGAACTTGCCTCCTTGTTCCGACTTCTCCCCTCTGTCCTACCATCTGGCCACGCCTAGCACTCGCCAGTGCAGGAACTTGATGAATGCAGGTTGAATGAATGATCGTCAGACATTTCCTTGAAGCTGCAGAGGCTCGTCAGGTTAACTGATAGGTTGAGCTTTCTCCAGAAACTTAACTAAACTTTACGCATGTAAGCCTCTTTAAAGACTTAGCACTTAAAACTTTGTCCCGATTTTATACCGAAAACTCAACTGTGTTTCATTACTCCAAGGAGCATGGTAACATATCATTCTTGGCATAGTTCGTGGGTTTTCACTTAGAGCAATGGGAAATACTGTACTTTGTCATCTGCACTGTATTTTATGGGTTAAAAATGCTGGATTAGCCAGAATATATTCCCAGTCAAATTTTTTTAAAACTTTGTGAATAGCTGTCACATACACTACTTAAATTGACTGAGACTCCAGGTAAATTTCTTTTTAAAATAACTTGACCCCCTTGTAAGCAATACTTATATATTTATGTAAAAATATATAAAATATATATATAAAACAAGGCACAACATGGAACTTCCAGTTTGTCCCTCTAGATACACGTGGTAAGTGTGGAACAGTCATGTGGATTTTTGGATTTACCTGCCCTTCCCCTACCCCACCCCACACGTGGCAACATTTTGATCTTTATTTCTTTACTTTGTGATTTGAATAGAGGTTCTCAGACTTTATACATTGTCTTTCTTTCAGGATAGAGGCAGTTAAAAAAAAATTAAGACGGAGATAATTTTAAAGGAAAAGGAAAGTAGAAAGGAGCCAGCTTTAGACTTAAATAAATCCTGTCTATTTTAATTTTAGTATAAATGCTAATGCACCTTGGGAAGAGCATCCGTGTACCAAAACCACCTTTTTCTATTTCAAAATTCTATTTTCTATTTCTGTTTTCAAAATTCTATTTCAAATCAGAAAGAGTCACTGATTCTTGGCTAAATAAAATTGGAAGTACCACATAAAAGTGGTTTTTTTTTCCTTTCTCTCCCACTAGGTTTCTGTGATGGTGAGAACGACGTACACGCGGAAGGTATGAACTGATTTCACCTACCGGTGCCGAGCGAGATGCTAACCGCAATATCTGTAGCCTCCTTTCCACTCTGAACTCTTCACAGTCCTGTGTCCAGGACTTCCCCAAACGCTGACACGAGCCACGATCAAGGGCAGGAGAGAGGAACCATGTACTAGTTAGGTCACAGAAGTTGTAACCACATGAAAATATTAATGAATCAGTCACTGAAACCACTAGTTATCCAAACACTTTGTTTCTCAGCTGTCTCTTCGTATCTAGAAAGTTTTGCAAGTTAAGGCACCCGGCTGGTGCCTTAACTTAAGGCCCACATTCAGGGTAGAGATTACTTAAAAATAAAATCTAGAGGGGCGCCTGGGTAGCTCAGTCAGCTGACTGTCCCACTTCGGCTCGGGTCATGATCTCACAGTTCATGAGTTCAAGCCCCACGTCGGTCTCTGTGCTGACAGCTCAGAGCCTGGAGCCTGCTTCAGAGTCTGTGTCCCCCTCTCTCTCTCCCCCTTCCCCCTCACCCCG